GGGTCCTTTACAATAGGAAATTTACAGTAGCAAGTAATTCAAGAATTTCATAAAGTTGTAGTGTCAGTGCAACACATCAAGGTAAGCAGTACCTAGCAACCCAAAAGATAAAATAGAACTCACGAATGGGCCCCCACGAAAAAAAAACTCGGAGTACCAGTACAATCAACCGGTCAATAATGAAATTGTGAAGAATGAAATTACTGAGTGTTGAATTCGAAACAAGACTTAGGATTTACAAAAAATGTTAAAAAAAAAAAAAGACGGAAAAGACAAAAAAATTGCTGACACCTGGAACATTAGCAATACTGTGTGTTAAAAATCTGTTTCAATCAGAACGAAGAAAAGGCTCGTACGGACAGACAATCCTTCGTTCTGGTTGCGGCTCCTCATCATTCGACGACTTTCTTACACATGTGCATACATCAGTGCACATGGCACAACTCTCTGAGCTAGCAGTTTCTTTACCAGTGTCGTCACTTTGTTGAACATCGCCTTCAGACGGTAAGCCCTCAGCCTGAAACGAATTCAAGGCTGATGGCAATTTTTCAGCAAGTTAGGATGGATGTGGAAATTCTCTTCAAAGTGGTTCAAAAACTGCTTGTTTTACGGTCGGAATTAACTAATTTCGCTCGGCATTACATAATGCGACAACTTTAGGGAGCAATTTCTTCCCATCCCCTTTTCACCGAAGGACTCTCAGCAGATAATATGGTATGGAAAGGCATCGTTTTGAAAAGTGTTCTGTAGAAAATTTCAACGAATTAACGTTACGTATGGCACTGACTTCGTGTATAATCAGAGTTTGGGAAAGCTTAAGATAAAGTATGGATATGCTTTGCAGCTCGATAACTACCATAGTATTGATTATTCCATCCTTTATTCTGTTGAAGTTTCTAGGCTAAAACAATGTTATCTAGGCTACGATTTGAAACTTTGAAATTTTCGAAATTAGGGTGGATTTTCAGTGCAATCGCTGTCGTTACTAGCGCTAGTAGGGAAAGGAAATTTGGATGAAGCCAAGTTACTTGCATAGCGCAAACGATGTTCATGTGTTTGACAGCCTCTTTGGGGTTCAACTATTTTAACATCAATTCCTTTTCCGTTTTCCGTTGGAAAACTATTTGAGAGCATTTTTATGCGAAACTTCTATATATGAGTGAATGTTTACCTGCGCGTTGCACGGCGCAATTTCAACAGCATTTTTCCGCTCTTCCATCGCTGAGTCATCGCTACTTCGACGCTCCGTCAGGCTTTCCATTGAAGAGAGCCGTCGAGCTCCAGTTGACGATGATGATGCCCAATTAATGCTAATGCTGTAAAGATGGCTTTCTGTATGGCCTGCGAAGCCCAGCAACCCCTAAGGCAGAAAATTCCTAAGTATGCTTCGCCATGCTAACCTGCTTGGCTGGACAAACTCTTGCGGCACGGTTGATGTGTATGGAAAGCTGCGGTCAGTGACGAGTGGTGAAGTAGAATTACGCACAAAAACAGCCGGTACACCGCTACTGCCACAACTTCGTTTTGCCTCTACCTCATCAACGCCTGCTGTATATCGCCGCTTCAGAGCACTTTTCGTCGTTATTGGAGAGATACTCCTGAAAAGAAGAATTTGAAAAACACAACGGCGCAAAATACGAGCAAATGGTATTTTCCTGGTCCGTTATAAATGAAAGCCAATTCAACCATCCTTGAATAGGAATCGTGGAAATCATACCTAAGTAATCTCTGCCGCGTAGGGCTTTGGGTCGGACTAGGGGTAGCAGAATACGGCATGTTTGGACGAACCATTTGATGAGTTGAAGGGGAGTAGCATTGCTGAAACAAAAAATTCATCGAATGAAAAGGGGTTGAAAGACATTACTGACCACCTAACACCTCATTTTCAAGCGTATCCCTTTACTTGGGGAAAATGTTTGAACATTCTTGGACTGCTAGAAACCCCTTTACTGCACAACAGAGCTGTATAAACACAGTGCACAAACAATCCCAATTGGTTGTCTGCTTGCAAAAAATGCACCGAAACGGCCGTCAACACAATTTCCCACCACAACTATCACTATAACTTAGAGGCTCGATTCAGCCTCTTGTTAGTTGAACGAATATGATGCCGCAATTTTCTGGCACTCCATTCGTTGCCTTTTTTCTGTCAAAAGAAGTAGAGCCCGGTAAATAAAGATCAGCGTCTGTCACGAGATCCGCAACAGAAAGGAATGGAAAGAGAGCCTGTCCAACCCACCCTTATAACACGCTAGTAACACCGTCCTGGGATTTGCGGTCATTTTTTAAACAATGATCACACCTTGTGTATTTCCGAAACCCTTGTCGGGCTTGGAGAACAGCTATGAGGCAGGAAAACGTTGGTAACAATCGATATTGGCTCTCCCACAGAAGAAGCAGATGGCGCTCTCCGCCGCATTTCCTGAATACACAGCAGAATCGCAATAAAAATCTATAGTTGTTTGATTAGCGAGTTGGAAATGTGAACAGATAATGAAATACTTACCGATGCTGAGGACGATTCCAAAGTTATGTCGTCGAAACCGCATGAAACCTGTTGCGACGTTTTTACAAGACGTTCATGTTCCACCTGAAGAAGATTCCTAACGGAAATTACTATGGAAGAACATCTAAATATCACTCGTCTAGCCTTCACAGGCAATATCGTCATTTCTCAAAGCATGAGGCGCCATAGTTCCTTCACAGAGTAATCAATCTTTCTCGAAGCCGGCACTACCATGCCCCTCCCATATCTACCAAAACGATCTATCGAGTGGCCCGCGCTTTGCGAAACACCATCGAATCGAAATGAATCGAGAAGCTTTTTCTAGAAGGAAAACAGTTTGGTAACTATTCATTCCGTGTGCCACGACTTGTTTGTAGGCGAAATTAATTCAGCACCGAAAAAACCCATCAATATAATTGGCTGACTCCTTGGAAAAAGTTGTTTGTACAGCGTTCTAGAATGTGACCGAAATTCGATTCAATGAACTCAAAACAGAGGTGTTGAGAAGAGTACGGCTCATGGGTAGTAAAAGGAAAAAAAAGTAGTTGGGATCTTTCAATATCCACCACATCAGGAACTGAGAATCACAGGGCGAGGGCACTTTTGACGATGAAGGGAAGGTTTGTGCTCTCAGATAAAAAAAGGTCGATCTCAGACTAGCACAATATCACACATTCTGTTATTTGCATTGCATGAACCTATTATCCTAAATGTGTTCGTTCTCGATTGCAGCATTACATCCTCCAGGCGAGATAAGTGAATATGAAAGAAGCGCATTACACTAGCAACATGCTGACTCTCTCGAGAGGCGAACGAACTCCAAGAGTCACCAGAATTAACCATTCTAGCATCAAGTAATAACGATGAAGCCACCCGATATATTGCAATGTGGTCGAACCTCATTGTTCAATGAACAATCACTTTCACGGCGTATGTTGGCAATTCGTCCTCTAGGAGCATCCAGTCTCCGTGCAACAGGCAAGTTTGACTCCGCCATCTGAAGAACGATGAGCACATAGCTTGATAAGCTAGTCAAATAAATAAGCAACTAACTTTATTCTTGCTGATTTTTCTCACAACAGGTTCATCTCCATCTATCGATCCACCTCCCACTGTTAGCTCACTTCCGTCGGAATCGCTCGATGATGACGAGAGTTTTCGGGTAGACCGTTGAGCACTGAAACACACGTTTGTAACTAACCGTTTCTAATTTCGCAGATCATTTACCGAAATTTTTCCATTCCCTCAGATGAAGACTCTTTCGAAAGAAATGATCCATCTAATGAAGATCGGGAAGAAGTTTCAGAATCGGCAATAGAGTCTGGAAATGTTATTGCAATTCTGAAAGCACACAAAGTTAGGATTAGATACAAAATCACTTACTATTCAAAAAATCAGGCCGATGAAAGGAAGAAAAAGCGCTCGGCGATGCCTGGCTCAGATTGAGAAATCTAAACGGTGTAATTGGTACAAAGCCTCCCGAAATGGAATAGAAAAAAGTCATGAAATATCAACGGATCCATCACGTACGGTGACTGCCTATGAATGAAGTTTCCTTCATGAACTTCCTGTTCACTGATGAATGAACAATTTGATGGTGCCGGAGAACAACCTTCGGATGGCAGTTCCTTCTCCAAAAACCCATCTAAACATGTATGCTTAGCAGAGCGAAAAAACCGATAGCTGGAAGGCACACTTAATTCTTAAGTTTATGGACACGCGCCGGCTCGTCATATATGAGGAAGTTAATTTAATAATGCAACGTGGTCCAAAGTCTGTTATTGGGACCCACACGGATGCGTCATATCCAGCGAAACGATAGCGTTAGGTCGTCGGATGAATCACAAAATGATTTTCAGTGTAGTTGTGAGCCAGGCGCAGAAGGGGCGGCGACAAGAGGCGCCGCTACGGTACGCATGACGCTGGGATCGAAACTTGCAATAGGATTCCGTTGAGCCAGCCTAGTCCTCTCTCTACGATTATTTCCGACACTATATTACACATTGACTACCCTAGGCCGATCACGGAATGGCTCAATTAGCTTGAATGAATATAGAATACAATACAAGCCCTTTATGCTCAGAGCTGCACTCCTTCAAATGGCCAAAGACGATTAACTGTATCATAGGCTGCAAAACACCCAGCCATCCTTGAGGGTTTTCTATTAGTTCTAATAGAAGATGCAAAACCAAGATAAGCTAAACCTCCCAGGGAAGAAATTTAGTCTGAAGAAGAACGTCTTAAGTCTAGGCAAATAGAAAAGCGAAACATACTTGAGGTTTCCGGCAAAGCATTTCCAACAGCAGTTGTTGTTGAACTTCCGAGTTCATTGCACTCTTCCGACATTTTACAGACTGGTATGCAAGAATGAGTAGCGACAATGGCGATTACAAAGGTGGTGTTGGCCTGATCGAAGCCGTAATACGCAATCGATAGCGCACGCTTAGAATTCACCGGCACAGCGTTCTCGAATCATCATAAACAACACTGAAACGGCGCCATAGTCAATCTATATTTCGCCTTTGTTCCAAAACACCTACATTAAGACAAATGAATGCTCTGAACAAACAGACGTCGTTGAAGAATGCTCAGTGCAATGACTAATCGTACTTTAATGCGATTCTGAAATTGTCTGAACTAATACAAAAGTTCACATATTAATAGTATATGAGTCAAGAAAAATGAGAAATCCACAGGGAATACCTCAAATAAACGGAAATATTGAAGTGCTTGGGGTAGTTTTTGCAAGAAATACGTTCAAAGGACGGAATGGTTTCGCTTGCATTGGAGCGCGCTTTCTCAGCCGAGCACTGCGAGCAACGATGGTCGAGGGAATTGGGAGTCGTATGTTAAAATAGTATTCATTAACTGCCGAGGAAGTGGTAACAAAAATGATGTCAATGGGAGGGGCTGGGAAATCGGTCTGCTACTGTTTAGGAGTGTCTGTTAGTACTCTGT